ATGTGCCATGCGTGATACACGCTTATGCGATCATGTATCTTTCGATAGATGACTGACGAGGCAGAATTTTTTCCAAGCAGTAATTTGCATTTTTTTCTGTTGTAGACCAGTTGCCATCCAAGGCTATATAACCCAGTCTGTCCTGCTATTTACCCAGAGCTGAGCAGAGAAGAAGAGTATTCATACCTTCGCACGTAAAGGAATGTAATGGATTCGACTGGAATTCGAACTCGGCTCTCCGATTCCTCAATCCGACTTCTGTTTATAAATACAGATTACTAAATAAAATGAAATATAATATAATAAATAAAATATCAAGATATTCCACTAATTTTATTTAACGTTAATTTTTTTATTCAGGTCTTTTAGTCGGATTCGAATGTTTCCACAGTAACACACACACACGCACGCGCAAACACACACACACATAGAAACACACACACACACACACACACATATATAGGGTGCGATGGATAAATTGTCATCTAAATTACTCAAAAAAGGAAAATAACACTGACATCCCATTTTAATAGATATACTTACCAAAATTACACAAAAATATCTTGAAATGCTAACTAAAGAGTAATTTTATTCAATAAAATCACCATTAGCTTCAAGCATGGCCTCCAGACGCTTTTGAAATCTGCAAATCTTCCGGACAGTCTCCTTGTTTAAGTTGGGGAATGCTGCCATAATCCTTGGCTTCAGTTCATCTTTGGTGTTACAAGGACTTTTGATGGTCTCGCTCAACTGTGCCCTACGCATAATAATCAATGGGGTTACAGTTAAGTAGCCATGTGTTAGGAGTGATGTAGTCGCAGAAAATGTCTGACAGCCATGTTTGTGTCCTCTTGCTTTGTGTGGCATGGTGCATAGTCTTGTTGCCAGATATAGGGTCTTCCAGAGCTACCCTCTTGACCCAAAGCAGCACTACCTCATAAAGACACTTGATGTAGGCCTCCGTGTTGAGTCTGGGACCCTCTGGGAAGATGAATGTGCATGATGTCGCTATCATTAGTCATCATTCCAAACACCATGATGTTGACTGGATATATTATCCATCTCTATACGAATCTTCCGCACTGTCCTCAGATTGACATTCAATCATTCTGAAATGTTTGTACTGGAGCTTCCGGCGCGAATGCCAAGCAGTACAGCATCACGTTTCCAAATTTCTGGCGGATTAAATTGCGTCATGGTGCTCTTTTTTCTCACAGACCCTGCCCAATTGACCTTATTATACTCTGCAGTTCGACAAAATCAAAAACATACAAAGTGCATGCGCGAAATTAAAAAAAAATTTATAATCGCGACAATTTAACCATCGCACATTACATGCACACACATACCCAAACACACACACAAATACACAAACACACACACATAGATAGATAGATAGATAGATAGATAGATAGATAGATAGATAGATTGATAGATAGATAGATAATGGCCCTCCACTCGTATCCGGGGAAGGCGGTGTAATGGTTAGCAAGCTGGTCTCGCTAGAACAATTACAACTGAGTAGTGAGTTCGATCCTCACTGGGTGCCCCCTACTTTCGGCCTTGTGCCACATCTAAGCTACACTTGGAAAATCACTACTAAGGCGGGTAGCCAATAACTGTTGCTGACACCTGCTCAGATACATTAGTGTTTGTTCAACCTTTGGTTTATACTCCAACTAGCTGAGAGGACCTTAGTTTATGGGAGAGAGTGCGTTATCTAGGGAGATCAACAGTCTGAACTGGGGCAGCACTCTGTAGTCCCTCTTATTAAACATTACCAATATTAAATTAATAATTTATTCAAAATTGGTAAAATTTAATATTAATTAGAATGATTTCTATTTTAGTCTAACGCTAACAATAAGGCTTTAATAATTATAAGGTCCGTTGTCAAGTTTTTTTAATTCGCATATACTTGTATTTTGATTGGTCATTGCTGCTTATGTGACAGCGTTTCCCCTCTCAAGGTGATTGGTCGATTTGAACCTTTTAAAACTCTTTATTCTACGTTCAACACCATCAGTTGATAATAAACCAGAAATGTTGAAACAAAATGGCTATTTTTGTAGTGATTTTATAATATATTCATGTTATAATTTTCGAATAATTATATTTGCTATTGAGCACTCTATTAAGAATAGTATAATTTGATTATTGGAATTTATTCCGTATACACCAATCCTATACTTAGGTATATATATATATATATATATATATATATATATATATCGCACGATATGGAAAAGCAATTTTATTGATAACGTGTTTCGCCGGGGTTAGATAGTTAGGTACACGTTTTCATGTTAGAATGAACGTCAATTCTTTTTGCTTTTTATATTTAAAGCCGTTAATGTCTGCTTTTTTTACTTTATCTTTATCCTATATAATATATATATATATATATATATATATATATATATATATATATTATAAACAGGACTAGAACATGTAAAACTTGGGATGACCCATGCCCTTTGTGCCTCCATGAGAAGCTGCATATTATTAAGTTTCTAAATAATAATAATCTATTAAACAATAGACATGAGTTAACGGTTTTCTGTCGTCATCATCAAATCTATGGTTTGAATGATTAGCTAAAAACAAGCATACATATAATAACTTTTATAATCCATAGCCAAAATAAATAGTTTAAATACCCTACAAAAAGAAAAACCCTTTATGAAGTCGTCAAAAAAAAAAAGTTACGGCAGTTTTTATATGCACAAATCCCTTTCATAAAGAAATAAAATAAAAATAAATAAATCTCCGTAGACACGTAAGCCAGACGAGGCTAAAACATCTTCCGTTTCAAATTCAGACACCCCCACCTTACCCTGACTTGACATCTATGAAAGTAACTCTATACTGATACTTATTATTAACACCCAACACACGCCTACCCAATTTAAACAATTGGCCCTTGCTGTTACCATGGAAATTTTGATTTCAATTATTAAAACACGTAAATTTCTGAAATAAGTTATTCCAAAAAATTTCGCTTGAAGATGGAACAGAGCTTACTTTACTCAATTTAATTCAAATAATTATATTGAAGTTTTCGGCTCTTGTTTTGAAACATGAGACTTCTTATGTCGCGAGTTGGAATCATATTTTTAAATAAATAATTATATTTACGCTCTACATTTGTATCGAGCACTATTTTTTTAAATATAATAACTAGAATACTAAGGAACTTTGGATCTACCTAACCAGTTCTTTCCTATTTTCTATATATTTTCACAAATATATATATATATATATATATATATATATGTGTGTGTGTGTGTGTGTGTGTGTGTGTGTGTGTGTGTGTGTGTGTGTATAAAATGTCTGAAAAATTTTTCACTTTTCAAAATCAGACCAATTGACCATTCACGTGTGTGTGTGAAGGAATACTGAAAACTCGGCTCAAATCCCTTCCTCCAAGAAATCAGATGTCTGTCTTTTGGTCAACTGGTCTGATTTTGAAAAGTGAAGGCCGAGAATTTTTCAGCCATTTTATACACACACACACATATATATATGTGTGTGTGTGTTTGGGGTGTGTGTATGTGTTTGGGCGTGTCGACTGTGTGTGTGCGTAAACTCTATGATGCCTTTATCACTGATAGGTAAATCAGAGTTGGTATCATAAACCAATACTTTCTTATTAAAGGCGTCAGGAAAGAATTAAAATAAACACATGACCTCGTCGGGTTTTGATTCGACATCGACCTTATCGTATGCACCCTTCAAATCGCTTGTCAGTTGATGTTACCGTTAATATATCCGTTTATTTTTATGTTGTTTTTTTTTTTCACCCTTAGGGTGATTTTCTTTATTTCTATCTGACATTACAATTAAAGAATGGTACAAATAGATCAGACTATTGAGTCAGATAGGGATGATGAGAAGAAAAAAAAGGATTGTTTGCATTTGAAAATATACGTTTATGTAAGGCCCATCTTCCACCACAGAGAGATTTTTATCGACATTTTGTATGTGTGGTTTGGAAACGAACTGACACTCTTTCTTCCCAGAAAGTATTTTTAATAAACTTATCAGAAATTGGTTCGTTTTTTCATAATTATTTGTTACTTCGATATCATCAATTTTCTAGTGTATATCTTATTATTATTATTATTATTATTATTATTATTATTATTATTATTGTTATTATTTAAATCCTACTTCAAATTCTTCTTCAAATTCTTGAAATTCTTCGTCTTCAAATTTGTCTTCTTCAAATGTTTCTTTTTCAAATGCTACTTCAAATTCTTCTTTGAATTCTTCTTCTTCAAATTCGACTTCTACAAATTCTTCTAAAAAATTCTTCTTCAAATGCTTTAAAATATTATTCTTCAGATTCTTTCAAATTCTTCATTAAATTCTATTTCAAATTCTTCTATTTCTTCAAATTCTACTTTAAACTCTTCAAATGCTTCAAATTCGTCTTCATTTTTTCTTTTTCAAATGCTACTTCAAATTCTTCTTCAACATATTCTTCTTTATCAAATTCTTCTTCAAATTCTTCTTTTTCAAATGTTTCTTTTTCAAATTCTTCTTCAAATTCTTCTTCTTCAAATTCTTTTCCTTCACATTTTTCTTCTTATTCTTCAAATTCTTCTTCTTCAAGTACTCCAAATTCTTCTTCAAATTCTTCTTCTTTTTCAAATGCTTTATTCTTCTTCTTCAAATGTTTCTCTTTCAAATGCTACTTCAAATTCTTCTTCTTTAAATTCTTTTCCTTCAAATTCGTCTCCTTCAAATTCCTCTTTTTTCAAGTACTCCAAATTCTTTTTCTTCAAATAGTTCAAAATCTTCTTCTTCTTCAAATTCTTTTACTTCAAATTCTTTTACTTCAAATTCTTCTTCTTCTTCTTCAAATTCTTCTTCTAGTTCTCCAAATTCTTCTTCAAATTCTTCTTCTTCGGATACTTCAAATTCTTAATCTTCTTCTTTAAATTCTTCTTCTTCAAATTCTCCTTCTTCCTCAAATGCTTCAAATTCTTCTTCAAATGTTTCTTTTTCAAATGCTACGTCAAGTTGTTATTCTTCAAATTCTTTTCGTTCAAATTCTTCTTCTTCAAGTACTCGAAATCCTTCTACAAATTCTTCTTCTTCAAATACTTCAAATTCTTCTTCTTCAAATTCTTCTTCTTCTTGCTCTTGTTGTTATTTTTGAAGACGAAGAAAAAACGCCGTGGGCAATCGTGTATTTTCCCACCTTCCTTATCTTTGCAGGTCCTAAAAGTGTCTTTTTACTTTCACCATTTCTTGTCCTCCCATCGATCTACGCAAGATCGTTACGTAGTTTATTCTCTATTTCACTCTATCATTCTTACCTTCATTATGTATTGTAAGTGTCATTTTCTTACCTAAATTTGTGTTTCAGAAATTAAAAACGAGCATTTTTTTTCCTTTTTACGGAAGAGCTTCACGTGATAAAACTTGGTACGAATTATTCGCGTTTTACGTAAAAGTGGACCATTTTCCAACTTAAAAGAAAAATGCACACACATGCCCATAGTATTAAGAATGTGCATACACTTAATTGGAACTTTTTAATTTTTTAATAATTTGTTCCACAGGAATTATTCGCACCGCAATCGCTGTGTTTATAGCATTTTCAACACCTCTGTACTGATCGGCGCCTGCTTGCAACCTCGTTTTAAACTTTTAGACTTAATATTTTCTATAAATGAGCTCAGAGATACATTTGTATATTATCTACTTATCTTTACTAGCATTGTCTATTTTATTGTTTATATTGAAAAAAATGAGTCAATTTTATATGCATTTCATTATTAAACAAAACTGGGCATTCTTTGCGATAGGAATTTTATCTAAGACAATAGAAAAAAGAGAATAAATTTACCTTTTTATAAATTTTTATTTTTTGTTAAGCCATATTAAAAGAAATGTTTTTATAAACTCTCAGTTACAACTCGGATATGCAAAAATAACATTCCAATGAATAAAAAATCTTTAAGTAATATTCTTTAATCAGTGACATGTAAAACTGTTCGGATGCCATCAGTGTCGTCTTAATCTGGGGAAAGGCTCTTCAGTGCACAAGATGCCTGCAACTTGAAGACATCGGAGTGCGTAGAAAAAAAAAAGACGTAAAGAAAAAAAACTTCTTTCCAATTACCCAACACTGTTCGCTATGGCTGGGAAGCCAAGTGGAGGTGTGGTACATTGGATGAATTGAAGTATTCTTCGCCGCAGGAATTAACAAAGTCGGGGTTTACCGAAATTAAGGTTCACTTCGGTGTACTAAGTTGATATGGAAGAATTGTTCATTGATTTCTCGCAATTTTTTTCTTACTGAAGCAATCTAAAGTAATACGTATTCTTCATTAATTTTCAGATAGACCTTCAGTTTTTGAGACAGTAATGACTCGTAGATTCTCACTTTTCAAACATATTTGAAATTAGCACATTTTTCTCAGTCAACTTCTCTACATACACCACACATATTTATATTTATATATATATATATATATATATATATATATATAATCTACACGCACACACACACACACACACACACACACACACACACACACACACACATATATATATATATATATATATATATATATTAAGAATTATATATAATATCTTACCTTGATTGCACAACTCGGAGTTTCATACGTTCTCCATTCATCAGGGGCAATTTTTGGGATAATATCGCTTTTATAATATTTCTGTTTAACGTGACATATTTTATGGTAAGGTTGGATTAATAGTTATTAAAATGTGCAAATGAATTGTACTTTCATTTTGGATTTGAATTTAGGCTCATTTATCCTTTTTTATTATATATATATATATATATATATATATATATATATATATATATATATATATATATATATATATATGCCAGGTGTAACAGTAAAATTTCACAAGTCGTGTTACACCATAACTGTCAATCCCACAAAATATTTAATATCTAAAAAAAAAAGAAAAAACACTAAAATAATTGGGCATCTTTCATCCAGGTTTTCATCTTGACACCATTTATCATAAAAGTCATATTCATACTACGATTTCAAATCTTCAAAGTCCATTCAAGAACCATCAGGAGAACAGTTTATAAGTTTTAAAAAAAGAGGGAACAGTAGAGACGAAGACTGGATCAGGAGGTCACAATAGGAAGAGGGGTCATCATTTTAATTTAGAGCTAAAGAGGTCAATTAAAATAAACATCCAACTCAATTAATGAGGCGTTCGTCACCTGAGAGAGAAGATTCAGATATGACAGTCCAAAGAGCAGTGAAGAAAGACTTGAAAAAGGAAAACGTATGGGAAACGCGTAAGGCACCCTTTTACTCCAGAACAGAAAGGTAGAAGGTTAAAGAGGACAAAGATCATCTTGAATAAGTTGGAAAATGATCCTGGAATAATATATATATTTGAACTGATATATTCTTATTGCTCAAAGTATTGTCCAGTAGTATTATAAAAAAAACTCGGAGAATTCCTGTAAGACATCTTTAATCATTTCTAACTTACAAAGATTCAAAGCCTTATCTAACAATTGGACAATTTTGCTGTTATATCCGGTATATAACAAATAACTGTTGTGGTAGGATCCACCTAATTTGCATAGTGGAGTACCGACCATATAAATTTGGTTGGTACCGGGAAGAGAGGAAGGAATCAAGAGATTCACTCTCAGTCGAACTCTCTGCATTTTGCAGTGAGGGACCCGGACGAGGCTTTGCCGAGAGGCAGGGTTTCGTTCGGGGTGGTAGACAGGCCTTGAATCCGTCTAGGCGGGTTCAGAAAGGCCATATTTTTGGCCGAGCCTACGGGCTCGGAGATACCCAATTTAAACCGGCCTTGTGCCACATTTTATCCTCGTGGGTGGATAGATAAATACAGGAATCAAGAGATTCAACCAGAGCTTCTGCCCGACTGCGACTCAGTCAACACATTCTCCAGGAACGGTCTTACCAGGAATATACAAAATACTATATGTAAATATTGTGTACACTTTCTTGTTTCAATACATTTTGTTCTAAGTACATTTTGTGTTGCATTATTATTCCATGCATTAGTCATGTTTCAACAATAACAAACAACACTGATGGTCACTGATCCAAATCATAAATATGTTTTCCATATTATTACCATCGTCCGACGACGATATCTGACCGGTACGTTTAAGAATCTAACATTCGGCCGTGCATTGCATTTTACTGTTAAATCTGATTGGATGCTCCTGCTGTATCTATTGAGATGTTCGATAAAATTAAACGAAAATGGTCTGTAATAATGTTGGTACTGACTTAGTATCTTGACATCAGTCATTTTCCCTTCGCCGTGACGTGGTATTCCTATGACTTTCCGATAAATATTTTAATGCCAAGTCTTCTGGTGAGTTTTCCTCCTTGGCACCTCGACCGCATGATTTTAAACGCAATATAAAATAAATATATAAAATGCACTTTAAATTTTGGAACACATAATATGTACCTATATAAACATTATTTTCATTATGTGTTTTAGAAACTCAAAAAAAAAATAAAAATGAACGTTATCTTTTAATATATAATCTGTCCTAGATATGACTATAAACTACATCCGCGTCCTGGGTAAGACGATAAACTACGTTCAACGACAAGGCCTCTGATTAGGATTTTTTGGGGAGCGTGGAACCACCTCTTAATTTCTGGGGTTCCCAGGTCCACTTTGACCCGAGGTGGTAGCACCTGCTAGGGTCTCAACTATGGGCAAATAGTTAACCCCGAAACTGAGGTAAATATAATTATAAAAGTGTAAAAAATGGTTTTGATACCAGAAATATGTGCAAAACATTATTACCAAAAATAAATTTTTGAAAAAAAAAACTATTACCAGCAATATATTTTTGAAAAAAAATATTACCAGCAATACATGTTTTAAAATAAGATTACCAGCTATACATTTTTGAGGAAAAAAAATATTACCAGAAATAGATTTTTGACGAAACAAAATATTACCAGGAAAAAAAAAAGTTGTTGGCATTAAGTAACCCATTGCTGTTGATATGCTGTAAAACACAACAAACTTTAACCCATAAATATAGTAAGGAGCACCCAGTGAGGATTGAACTCACTACTTAGTCATAATTGTTCTAGCAAGACTAGCTTTTGAACCATTACACCGCCTCCCGGAACCCTACATGCTGGCCATATATTGTTGTCGAACGATCGCAATCTTATGGAAATCAGATTTAGGATTTAGATCAGTGACCCTCAGCGCAGCTTTATTTATAAGTTATAAACCGGGTGAACAAATGGTACTTACTTATATATATATATATATATATATATATATATATATATATATATATATATATATATATATATATATATATATATATATATAAGAGTAAGTTTCATTTGTATAATAACTTAGTGATACAAGTCATACTAATTAACTAATAGTTAAGTATTTCCACATAAGTGAATAACCAACGGGAATTAGAACTCGGCTCTCCGATTAACAATTCCGAGCCATTACTCATATCCAAGCTTTTCACCCATTTAGGTACTGGCCAGTTTCGCGGTTGCTTAACTTCAGTGATCGTACGGTAACCGGTGTTTCAAAATGATAGAGCCATACGCGCCAAAAATTATACTCTTCCTGATTGAAGCATTCAAGGAACTTTCAACCCGCGAATCTGTTTCACAATCTGTCAGTTATTGAGAAAAAGCTGCTTGCGTAGAACATTCTTTTTAAAACGCAAAGGAAATGAAAGTGATTCGACTCCGTGGAAGTGGCATATAAACAAAATTTGAACCGGTATAACATAAGCATGAATATCATCTGAAAATTTACCCGGAGAAATAGCGATAAAAAGCCACAGGCTTGTAACCTTTCCGCCTATGGGAAAGAGACTGAGGAGAGGAAAATGTATTTCCCCACAATCCTGCACAAACCGATTTTGAAATGAGGTTTTTAAGTTTTGGTGCAACAGTAGGAACCCAGTCAAGTCAGTGATTCATATTTTCTCATAAAGACGTCATGTCTCGTATTTTTTCGCAATAAGTAAGTGAAAAAGCTTAATTTCAGTGACACGAGTTGAAGTCACGACAATTTGACGATGTCAAGTTGTCGCTATTAACAGTTAATGATATTTTATTTGTTATTCAGAATGAAGAGAGAAAAATGGTATCTTGATTTTCCCTTTTCTCTATGATAGTGTTTCATTTTTTTTTTAATTTCATCTCGCTTGTAGAATTTTCTTTCATGATGGGAATGAGTGATCCCTTTGAAGCGTTATCATGTAATATGAAACAATCAGTGTATTTGTCGGCTGCTCAGCGAATACTTTTTTCAATCCTTCTCGTCTCCATGATT